CAGAAAGTTAGCGGCCATCCAGGTCTTTATGTCTTTAAGACATTCCTGCAGTTTAACTAATTGGTGTGTGTTATCTGGCTTCATGGACAGATAGAGCACACACGATCACACACACACTCAACTCTACTCACTCACCTGGAGGATCAACACTCAGGCTGACGATGTTGATGAGCTTCAAACTGCCTCTCCGATTGTGGACGACATAACACTCGTATGTTCCACTATCAGCAGTCGTCACATTCTCCAGAATCAAAGACACGTCTCCATCTCTCATCTGTCTGTCCTGCAGATCCACCCGGTCCTTAAAAGATGGATGCTGATCATCTGGCACAAACACTTCATCTCGGTACAAAAGCACATATTCTGATTTCATGTCAGCTTTGGTCCACTTCACAACTATGTTGTTGTTGTCAGGAGTGCGACATGTCAGAGTGACGTTTTTCTGTCCAGACGAAGCTGTGATGATTTTATGGTCTGAAAGAGGCAAAAAAAAAGAAAGAAAAAAAACAGGAGAAGAGAGGTTAAAAAAGTCACCATGCAATTATTAATTTCAACAGCACTGATCAACTGATCAGCAAGATTGTGCTACAGATAGAGACCACAAGACTCTGCTGAATCAGAGGAAGTGCTTCCCACACTGGTTGCTGAATTTTATCTATCTATCTATCTATCTATCTATAAAAATTTAGTTTATATATAAAAACTCTCAATTTTTTAAACAACCTATACACTAACAGGTAAGTATACACTAATATATAAGATATATTAGTGCTGTCAAACAATTACAGTTTTTTATCAGATTCATCACAAGGTTGCTGTGGATTAATTTTGATTAACAACGACTCAATATTCATTTATTCTATATTAATTGCATTTCATTTTGCATGATAAATAGACTCGAGAAAAAAGGGAAGATATACCCACTTAACATGTTTATTGAACATCTTGAACATTCATGTTTACAAAAAACTCTGTAAACATTTATCTCTCTCTCTGTCACTCTTGGAGAGGCAATTCAAGTCCTTGAAAAGAGGAACGAAAGCTATGTAAAGTGTGTGTTGTCAACCATATTAATAGGTCTACAGTTTGTTGCAATCCACATACTTTATCTCGGTCGACTGCTCCGTCTTGTTATTTTTGTAATGCTCAAATTTCCCATCGAGAGGGCCGATGTGCGTTTATCACCTTCTATTTTGAGTTGACTGGTTCAGCTGCCCGTCACTACCAGAGATTATTCCTTGCTTTGGACAGCATGTGCAAAAGTAACCCTACTTGAACAAATATATATA